ACACACACACACACACATATATATATATATATATATATATATATATATATATATATATATATATATACATATACATATACATAGTGTTCTCCCCATACTACTAAATGAAACATCACAATACCTTTTTTTTAAAATATTCCTCAAGAGCCCAGCGGATACGCGGATACGCTAATTATCTCATAAACATAATCAATATCCTAACATTTGTAACTTTTGAAAAATAATATCTCCTGATTCTACTATCGTCTCAATATCGCCCTTACTTTCCCCTATATATTTTTCGAAACTCTTTCCAATGCCTCTCTCTCTTACTTCAACTTTTCCAACATCATAGCCACTTCAATACTCCAACACCCACCCCAAATATAACCTGATCGTGCTATCCACGGGTACTGTGCTCGGACAGATAGATGAACCAGCCCATACAGCCACTGGCTTTAACCTCCCCCCCCCCACTTCTCACTCTTTCTCATTTCTTAGTTTCACCTTTTGTCCCCATCCACGGCCACTGGTTGCTCACAGGAAGATCGATAAGCTGATGCAGACCTTTGGCTTCCCCGTAGGTCCTGTGACGCTGTTTGATGAGGTGGGCATTGATGTGGGATGTCACGTGGCCGCAGACTTGGGCCAACGCCTACCACGACTGTCACAGGGAGACGTTGCTACAGGTGTGGCTGCCATGAACGAGATGGTACGTGTGATATATTATATATATATTTATATATATAGATATAGATATATATATATATATATGATGTGTGTGTATGTGTGTGCATGTGCATGTGCGTGTGCGTGCATGTATGTATATATATACGAATGTGTGTGGCTGTTTTTAAGCACTGTATATACGAAAGCGTACAAGGTGACGTTCATTTTGGTGCGTCTGTCATGGTGGAGATAGTAAGTGCGAGAGGGTTGTGAATGGCAAATCCGTGCACAGTGCATTCATATACACGTCTCTACAAGTTACTATACCGTATGGGTGTGTATGTATTACGTTCATACGGTATGCATGTACATAGCCATACGGACATAAGACAGTCTAGTTGCATATGGATGTATATATATGTGATGGCGCGTTCGTTGGGTCTGTTGTTCTATGCTGTTTTCATGGGTGTGGGTTGCACAGTTACCGTAGATGAGGTCGATATGTTGTTAAACTTCAGCCGGCTGCTACTCAGGCTCTGAAACACACCCCTTTATTCGTACAGATGGTGTGAATACTAAATGGAATGGGTACCGATATACATAATACTCATAGGCAACAAGTGCACATCAACTGTTAACTATTATGGCTTTGGTGTTCTAGGGTTTAGGGTTTGACTATCTATTACGGCTTTGGACTACACCGTTTTACCCTTATAGCTGATGTGATTACTGAAATGTATTCTCATAGGTAGCCTGCATTCTATATCTATACTTTCCGATAGATGGCGTAGTAGATAACTATGATATCTCATAGTTGTTATACACCTTTTGGCACATGCCCCGACAGACTACCAGTGCACAATAGGATGTCTGTCATGTATAAAGGGAGAAGGACTGAGTACTCTGTGAGGTGGCGGTTGGGGCTGTGCACATACTTACTTATACTTTGACAAATTAATAGTACTTCTACTTAAGCATCGTGCTCAACAAGCATTATGCAACTCATGCCGTAGATGGAGAAAGGCTGGGTGGGACGGAAGTCTCAGGCCGGGCTATACACATACTCGGGTAAGAAGAAGAGCATTAATGAAGATGCCATTGCCTTGTTTAAGAGACATGGAGCGGCTATTCAAAGGTATGTGTACATGTGCACGGTTCAAGCACTGGTATGCAAGCAGGATGGCATGCTGACGCACACATACACGAACATATACACTCACACTCATATATATAGAGAGAGAGTTTTGGAATCAATGTGGCATATGATAAATGAGCACACGCACGTGTTAGACTACAATATAAATTTTGGACCTTCGAACTGCTATGACTATGTAGGCGAAGGAATGAGCTGACCTGGATGTTTGCAATACATGTACACATTGCATATGTAATTTGTATGTGATACATGATCTATGGTGTCCATAGCACATCTGCGTCGTACCGACACACACTCTGAGCAGCTTGGCGTGTGCAAGGTGCCCTGTGGCTACTACACACACACACACAATAATCGTACGATACACTCATGTCGTTGCTCTATATGTACACTAAGACTTCTGGTCTGCACCCATTACACCCTAAAGCTCTGAACTTCATAAAACAGGACTAAACCCCTAAACCTCTCAAACCCTAAAACAGGACAACGGAGGACGCTGATCTACCCTTGCGTATGGCGTGTCGCATGGCTAATGAAGCAGTGATGTGTCTGCAGGAGGGTGTATTGGCCAAGGCCTCTGATGGAGATGTGGGGGCTGTGTTTGGCCTGGGCTTCCCACCGGCAAAGTATGTTAAATGTATAGTACATGTGTAGGTATCTTATGTATGTTGATGTATAGTACATGTGTAGGTATCTTAAGTATGTTAGATGTATAGTACACGTGTAGGTACCTTAAGTATGTTAGATGTATAGTACATATGTAGGTATCTAAAGTATGTTCGATGTATAGTACATATGTAGGTATCTTAAGTATGTTAGATGTATAATACATATGTAGGTATCTGAAGTAAGTTCGATGTATAGTACATATGTAGGTATCTTAAGTATGTTAGATGTATAGTACATATGTAGGTATCTAAAGTATGTCCGATGTATAGTACATGTGTAGGTATCTTAAGTATGTTAGATATATAGTACATGTGTAGGTATCTTGAGTATGTTAAATGTATAGTACATGTGTAGGTATCTTGAGTATGTTAAATGTATAGTACACGTGTAGGTATCTTCAGTATGGTAGATGTATTGTACACGTGTAGGTATCTTAGGTATGTTAGACGTATAGTACATGTGTAGGTATCTAAAGTATGTTAGATGTATAGTACATATTTAGGTATCTTGAGTACAGGAGATAGGTAGCCGGTCTATATTTAGGCTTGTTCATAAAGTCAGTGTCTGTCAAACACCTCACACTTCGTACACTTGCATCGATTCACTCTTCACCCACTACAATTATTTAAACCTCAAAACCTCGAAACCCTAAAACACCCAATTCTGTTGTCTAAACCCTAAAACCCTAAACCCTAAGACACCCACTTCATTTGTTGCTACTAAACAGGGGTGGTCCGTTCCGATGGCTTGACACCTACGGGGCACAAAATGTGGTGGACCATTTGGATCGCTTCAGAGAAACTTTTGGAGAGCAGTTCACCGTTTGTGATTTGCTGCGAGAAAATGCCAAAAGCGAAAAGAAATTCTACTAGCTGAGGTGGCGAGTCTAAACTTAATAAAGCAGATTCTAAATCGACAGTAGATTTGTTCAATAGACATTCTTAATAAAATGACTGATCTATCTCATAACGATACTGTATATTTCCTATCACAATGTTTATACATTTCTAACTACATTTCTAATAGTAATGATATTCATTTCTAATACGTATGTTATACATCTTAACAATTATGTTATACATTTCTGATACGTATGTTATACATCTTAATTTCTAAAACGTATGTTTTACACGTTATCAACTATGTTATACATTTCTAATAAGTATGCTATACATTTTTAATCACTATGATTTACATTTCTAATAGCTAAGTTGTGCATCGTAATAACTATGTTATACATTTCTATTAACTGTTATATATCTTAACTGTTCTACATTCTAATAACTAAGTTACATTGTGATAACTATGTAATATACATTTCTAAAAAGGCGGTTCCAAGTGAAAATTTGTTTCAGGCAATAAAATAAAAATAAAAATGGGTTGGGACTAGACTTGACCACTTTGTTTCCGTATTTAGGTAAAATAAGTGACGCGCCAAAGCAGGCCCGCCCTGTTTATTCAAATGCACTCGCATGGCCACTAAGGCTGTTTCCAGGGTGTACCTATAGTCTAATTTTAAAAATGCGGGGTGTGAAGGGAAAAAGAGCTCAGCCCAAAAAAAAGTGAGTGGATTCGCCTGAAACAAATTTCCTCTTGGAACCGCCTAACTATTTTATACATCTAATAATTAAGTTATACATTTTTTATATTTTATGTTTAAATTTCTAATAACTATTTTATACATTTCTAATAACTAAATTCCACATTTCTAATACCTATGTTATACATTTGTGATAAGGCGGCTCGGATGTACTTCCGTGTTTTAGGGTTTATTTTAAGCCCAAAATCGAAAACTGCTCAAGCTACTCTAATAACTAAATACTAATAACTATATACGTTTGTTAAGTGTTGGATAATCTACAGCGATTGATAGGCAAGTTGCGCTAAAAAGAAAGTGTCCAATAACCACCGGCCCAGTATTGTTCCATTCTGAATTGGAGGCCTTCCAAAACCAAATATGAAATATGTACTGTAATAAAAATGATATTGCCGGTTGCATTATGATTTATAAGACTCTATTTAGAGCCCAGAGACTGATTTGGGCTGGCGCAGGGCCCAAAAAACGTATATATGTACTACAATTTACAAGTCCAAAATGTGTCTCAAGTCCAAAAATACAAGGGGCGGGGGGGCGCCTAAAACATGGAAGCACATCCGAACCGCCTAACTCTTATAAATTTCTAATAACTATATTATAAATCTAGTAACTAAGTTATACATTTTTGATATCTGTTATAGATTTCTAATCACTATCCTATACACTTCTTATAACTGTTATTTATTTCTAATAACTATGTTATACATCTTTTTAGAACTGGTATACATTTCTAACAACTATGCTGTACAATTCTAATAGCATTCTAATAACTGTGCTATTATTTTCTTATACTAATGCCATACATTTTTAATACCTATTGTTATACCTTCTTAATGACTATGATATGCATTTCTTATAACAACGTTACACATTTCTAATATAAACAATGCTGCACTTTTCGAAGAACAATGATTGTACAAGCGACGAGGTACCCAAGTATGGATAAAGATTGACAACTTTATAAAGATATATATTTATGTAAATCTCTTTATATATCAAAATACATTTTGGGAATTGCGCATTTTTTGTGTGATGTCTAAGTGGTTGTCAACGTTATAATTATCGCCAGAGTGCTGATGCGGCCAATTATATCATATATACTTTATTTGAAAAACAATGGTACAGGGAACGAATATTACTATACTATTATATATATAAATAATGCATTACTAGAAGTTAGTGTACAGAATTTAGTACAATACTACAAGGATATATGACCAGCTGTATCGGACATGCTAGAATATGTTACTTTACAATATTATATATAAAGTAATACATTCTTTTAAGTTAGGTTTTAGACATGTTATAATTATTAATATATATATATATATATATATATATATATATATATATATATATATATATATATATATATATATATA